AAGAAAGCCAGTAATGCATGAAGTAAAAATTGACTTAGATGAAGGCCGAAAATAGAGCAAGGGGAAGATCAGTTTGTTCACTATCAAACAAGGAAAATCGAAACATATCCGCTACATGAACAGGATTAAAACCTTACCGCGTTTGCCCAACCGTCGTGTATGAAACTGGTGGGAGTTTGTCCTGTAAACTTCACAGGAGTATTCTGGTGACACTGGCGCACGGCACGAGCAAATGGAATGGCGGCCCTTGTCAGCATTCTGAAATACAGTACAATAAGCCTGCTAACAAATCATTTCTTCACCACACAAAAGAGGATATTCACTACACAAATAGAGGACATAGAAATGGGAAAGCAACATAATTGACGAAATCTTGCTGATTAGTCTATGTACCGCACGATTCTTCGAAAGGAAGTCCTTGGAAAGCCGCATAATATAAGACACTGCTCGAACCAAATGTACTTATAAAATGAACCTTACTGACTGCGAGGACTGTCTACTGGATAACTACTTATCATTTTACCTGCAAGCGATTAACCATCACGACATCCAAGGTGAGAATGGAAGTCTTATCATACCTACTCTACTCTACCTCTCGGCAGGTCCCCTCCCTCCCTCCCCCCAGTTTCTCTTTCGAGTCTAGAGCGAACGAAATCGAAGCTTAAATTGTGGTGGATTCCGTTCTGGAGTCCGGTCCTTCTACGAACATCTCCACGACAGGAGTTCTTTTCCAAAACTTTTCCAACACAGCCATTTGTATATGCATGCACATCCAATTCTGCATTTCTCAAATAAAGACGCGAAGAAATTACTTATATCAAGGTGGTACTTGTAGATATTGTATGTTATGAACAGCAAGAGACTGCCCAGTAAAGCGAGAAGCCGTGATCAACATGTCTTGAGCCTGGACTCCGAGAAAGAGAACGTTCTTATTCCGCGAAACCTCTTCTGAAGACGCTGACGAAGGATCACCCACCTCACTTGATTCAGAAAAGTGAAAAGAGCACACCACTAGCGAAAAGACAAGCCAAACCTGAGGCTCGGTATAAACACACAACAAAACACGTTGAATAAAAGTAATATCAACGAGAGCAGTTGAAGAACAGTTCAAAGCCGATGAAGAACTTCAACAGCTGAAACCTACGGAACTTGGCTCCGAGTTCCGTCAGCTGCGCAGCGTCATCAACGGGCGGTCCGCCAACCCTTTAAGAATTTCGATGGGGCACGCTATTTCACGCCGGGTCACATTGTTGCTCTGGTTTCGGGAGATCCGATGATTCAAAGTCTTAGCCTTTATGCTGAAAAGGTTTTTAAGGCCACGCCATTCACCCGACGACTTGGAGTTAGGAGGGCAGGCTAAAAAGGATATGGGCGCTCATCCAGTAAGGGGGGCATCAAGTGGCTGCCCTCACCCCCACCCCCTAGACTGCCTACACTCCCCCTGGCGCACAGGTTTCTCGAAGTACGGGACCCCGTGAGCCAGGGGGAGTGAAGGCAGTCTAGGGGGTGGGGTGAGGGCAGCCACTTGACGTTGCATCACAATGCCCCCCTTACCGGATGAGGGCCAAGATATGTATTGATTGGGAGACTAGGAGGCCATTGATTAGAATACTAGGAGAGTAGAATTTCCGCTGATATGGTTGGGTATCTATCTATTGAAAATGTTGGAGGGTAGTAGACTACGAGTTAGAATAGTAGGATAGCAGGACGGAGGGATTGGGAGAGCAATATGATTGAGAGATTGCGCTGCAATGATTGGATATGTATTGATCGATTCAACTGAAGACGCTTAATTTACTCGCATTTTGGGGAGGAAGTGGGCGGAGTTGGGTGTGGCGGTTGCGTGTGTGTGTCGACTGGTCTCGGAATCAAGGAACAACCGTGATGTGAGGGTTGTGATTGGAGTAGGAAGAAGAAAGGTCGTGTCGGGAGCCTCCTAAGGTGGAGGGTGGCATCGAGATCCCCCTAAAGGGGGGGGGTCGCGAAATTTTAGGGTAAACGCGAACCCGAC